CCAGCATCCTCCCAGTCCCTCAGCCTTACAACCTAGGTATCATTCTAGGTACCTCACCATCTCTCACCCCCCATATCTAATCTGTCACAAAGGGCTCTTGATTTCACCTTTGCAACATCTGTTGATGCTCTCTTTTCTCTCCTCCGATGCTATTCACCACTCATCACCTCATGCCTGCACTATTGCAATAGCCTATTGATGTATTTGCCTGCCTCAAATCTCTCCCCTTTATAGTCTATCCCCCATTCAACTAATAAAGTGATTTTCCTAAAATGCAGATCTTACCATGTTGTACCCACACACATATTCCAAAAACTCCAGTGGCTCCCTATCACCTCCTGGATCAAATACAAAATGCTGTTTGATATTCAAAGACCTTCATAACATAACCTAGCCCCCTCTTACTTTCCAGTCTTCTTACACCTTACTCCCTGCCATTGATCCAGCGATATTGGCCTCCTGGGTGTTCCAGAAAACAGGACACTCCATCTCTTGGCTCCAGGCATTTTCTCTGGCTGTTCACTATGCCTGATACACTCCACTTCCTCATCTTTGCCTGCTCACTTCCCTGGCTTCCTTCAAATCCCACCTTTTACAAAAAGTCTTCCCTAATCCCTCTTTATTCTAGCTCCTTCCCTCTGTAAGTTATTCCCTATTTACCCTGTTTATAGATTACTTAAAGTTATCTGCTTATTTTCTCTCCCATTAGACTATGAGCTCCTCAAAAAAGACTGTTGTTTACTTCCCTTTATTTCCCCAGTATTTAGCAGTGCCTGGTACAGAGTAGGTGGTTAATAAATGCTTATTAATTGACTGACTAAAGAAGTCACAAATACTTTGATACAAAGTTTTTTTCTTAAACTTTGAAACTTCCCTGATCCTTAGCTGTACCTTACCAATACCCTCATTATGGATGAAAACACGCTCATTATACAAATAGCCAATAAATATTATTCATACAGAACCCTCATACCACAAAGAATCAAACACAAGCTTTACTACAGCTGAGTTCAGTGGAAATTTTAAGTAATGGGAAGACAAAGTTAGTCCAAGAAAATCCTATCTTTGAACGTGCTGCTAGAAGCAGCAGAGTGGACATTAACAGAAAAACCACACAGGTTTGAACCAGTCTCTGCCACTAATGTAAAAGTGCTGCCATTCATGGATCAAGCATCATTCATTACTGGTCACCTTTCCTAATTAATTCATGACTCTGTCTTGCTCCATTTCACATGAGTTAAAGGTCAACAGCAACTCATGAAAATTTCTCATTCATCTCTAGCTAAGTAACTGGACAGTCCTGTCTTTCTCTTTACCTATACAATAGAATACAAAATCCCAGAATCTGAAGAGTTGGAAGGAAATTCAAAGGCCATTTAATCCAGCCCCTAGCTAAAACACGAATATTGTGTAGAGCATCCCTACAAACAAGGATCTCTGTTTCAGGGGGAAGAATAACTTACGGTCATTCAAAACCCTACGCAATTTCCATCTTTCACACCAGACTGCCAAATAAACATTCCTAAAACACAAGTCAGACCACATCATTCCCCTGCTCAAAAATCATTGCTTCCAGGATAAAATACAGACTCCTAGTCTGGCCTTTAAGTTCCTCCATGAACCTTTCTCCCACATCCCTTCCCCAAATTATTTCATCTTGCCATACTCTACATTTCAGTCAAATTGAATTACCAGCTGTTCCTGAAATTCATCATTTCACCTCCCATTTATGTTCCTTTGTACAAGCTGTCCCCACAATGCCCTCTTAATTCTGCTGCCCTCCCTCCATTAATCATTTCCTATTTATCTTGCTTATAGCTTGCTTTGTAGATTACAAGGTCCTCGACGGCAGGGACTGTCTTTTGCCCCTTTTCGGATCCCCAGCGCTTAGCAAAGTGCCTGGCACACAGTAGGCACTTAATACATGTACGCTGATTGACTGGTACACACTGCCTCTGCACCTCTGCCTTTTAGAATCCCTGGCTTCCTTCGAGGCTCAGCAGCTACTTCCTAAGTGAAACCTTTCCTTACCTCAGCTGGAAGTGCCATTTGTTGTTGTTCAGTCATATCCAGCTCTCCCTGACCCCACTTGGGGTTTTCTTGGCAAAGATACTAGAGTGGTTTGCCAAAATTTCCTTCTCCGGCTCATTTTACAGATGAGGAAACTGAGGCAAATAGGGTTAAGTGAACTTGCCCAGGGTCACTCAGCTAGTAAATGTCTGAGACCACGTTTGAACTCAGGTCCTCCTGACTCCAAGCCCAACACTATCCACCACACCACCAAGCTGCCCATTAGTGCTCTCTGCCTCCTCAAATTACCTTGATTTACTTACATGTTGTATAGCCAGAGTAGAATATAAACTCCTCCAGGGCAGAGACTGCTTCTTCTTTTTCTATAAACAAACTCCTATTTCCCAGCACTTACCTAACACAATTCCTTTCACATACAGGTACTTTGAACAATGCTTCTTTAACTTAATTGAAGGAAAAACAAATTCTTTGCACTTTTTGCACAGATTCCTGAACTTGGCACTTCAGAGCCCCTAAAATCTAGGTTCAACTTGTCTTATTTTATATTACTTCCTTTTACTCATTATGTTTCAACTGAATGGGATTACCAGCAGTTTCCCCAACTCAGCAAAACACTTCCCATTTCCATGGATTTACAAAGACTCCAAAGCATTCCGTCCTCAACTCTGCTTCTCTGAATTCCTTACCACCTGTAAGGCTCTGACCAGAGGCCACCTACCTAAGAAGCCTTCCCTCATCTCCTCCTCCCTCCTACTTTCCAAGGATGTACACATTGATAATGAGGTTGAAGCAGGCACTGCCAGAACTAGCTCGGTGTTTGGGAGGCCCCAAAGGAAAGTGTAGGAGAGAAGTATTAGACTGACTACCAGACTGAAGGTCCACAGAGCCATTGTGCTGACTTCATTGTTGTATGCCTGTGAAACCTGGATAACACATCAGCACTATGCCAGGAAACTGAATCATTTCCATTTGAATTGTCTTAGGGAGATTCTGAAGATCACCTGGCAGGATGAGATACTAGACACTGGGGTCCTTTCTCAAATTAAACTGCCAAGCATTCAAACTCCACTGCAGAGAGTGCAACTCTGATGGGCTGGCAATGTGGTTTGAAATGCAAAATGTATGCTTGCCAAAAGGACTATTTTATGAAGAACTCACACAGGGCAAGTGGTCATATGATGATCAGAGGAAGCAATATAAGGACACTTGCAAGGTCTCTTTTAAGAACTTTGGAATTGACTTTGTGACATGGGAAACCCTGGCACAAGACTGCCTAGCATGGCATGCCCACATCAGAGAAGATACTATATGTGCTCTATGAGCAAAGCAGAATTGAAGTAGCTCAAAAGAAACGAGAGATGTGCAAATTTAGAGAATCTACCCCAAATGTGAACATGGACTACCGGTGCCCAATCTTACATAGAGTAGTCTGAGCTCGTATTGGTCTGATCAACCACAGTTGGACACAGTTGAACCGACTCTAACACAGTAATATCACTTTGGTCTTCTTCGAAAATGAAGGACAACAACCCCCACCCCCCACTTTTAGAGCTCACTTCCCTCCTGTAAATTACCTAAACCCTTCACAACCTGATCCTTTCCTACCTTTCTGATCTGCCTACACTTTTCTCTCCTCCATATACTCTATGACCAAGGAACACTGGCCTTCCTGCTTTTCCTTGAACATGCCACTCTAAATCTTATCTCCATGGCTCTTCTCACTGGCACACTCTCCCTCCTCATCTCTACCTCTCAATTTCATTTAAAACATCTCAAATCCCTGCAGAAGGTCTTTCCTGGTGGGTTTCCCTTCCCACCCACCAACCACCACCCACTCCTGCTAATGTCTTTCCTCTCAAATCCCATACATTTACACATATGTATGTATCTATATTTACACATATTATATATATGTGTGTGTGCGTGTGTATATATGTCTCTGTGTATTATATATATATGTATACACACACACACACACACATATTAATTTACATGTTTTCTTTCTCCAATTCCAAAGTGAGCTTCTTGAGGACAAAGTCTGTATTTCTGCTTTTCTATATATCTTCAGTGTTCAGCATAGTGCCTGGCACACAAAATGCTTAATCAGCAGTTGCTGACTGACAATATTTATTTCTCTGTGTGCATATTATACCCTATTCATAGGATGCAGACTCCTTAGAAACAAGTATTGTTTCATGCTCGTCTTTGTCTCCCTATCGAGAACCATGCCTGGCACATGTTAAGCATTTAATAAATGTTTACTGAATTAAATTGAAGCCCTTCTGTCATGAGAGTCCTCAGCACATCTCTAGTGGAAGGAAGGAAATGTGTGTGTGTGTGTGTGTGTGTGTGTGTATGTATATGTATATACACATACATATACATATATTAAAGTACCTATTATATGCCAGGCGCTGTGTTAAGTGCTTTACTAATACTATCTCATCTGATCCTCACAACAACCCTGAGGTAGGTGCTATTATCATCCCCATTTTACAGGCAAAGATCAAGTATCCAGGTGTCACACAGCTTGTAAATGTCCAAGGCCAGATTTGAACTTGGGCCTCACTCACTCGAGGCCCAGTGTTCTAGCCAATGTACCGCCTAACTGCTTCAGCAACTTGGTGAAAAGTAGTACGCAGGACTCCCATCTTACAGTCGCTGCTTTGAGAGGCCAGTAGTGACCTCACTTGGTTCAAAAGCCACCAATTCAAAGAAAAACATGGTGTCAGTCCACAACTCAAGCTAACTGGTTGTCATAGCCTCTTTTGGCATAATTCATTTTATCCTACCCTACTCTGGGCTAAAAACATTTTTCATTTGAGAAATTATTTCATTTCTTAATTCCTTGAAAAAAAAACAATTAAAGCTTGTACTTCTGATAGTAATTACCTAAATTTGTCTCCTGAGGGGAACAGTCCCACAGATGTTATATTTTGTAAACTTCACGTATAAATGATCATTCTTACCTGTTTAGTGCAAAGGCATAGTGGAACTTGATATTATGCTGATCGGCCAGATCACAGGTAGGCAGCATCTCCAATGTTTCCACCAGTTTTACCATAGCATCATAATCCTAGCACCCGATTGCCATAAGGCAGGAAAGGAAGAACAACAGATATTTATTATAAGGTACTGGTTTTTAAAGATAGATTTTTTTTAGGCACAAAAGGACCTAAATGAATTCCTCTGTGGGAATTCATGATTAAAATTAAAAAGCAGCATCATTTTGGCACATGAGTAAGGAGGAAGCCAGAAAATTAATCCCTATTGGATCTGCAAATCTAGCAAAAGGAACAAGCATGTATTAAGCATCTACTAGGTTTCAGGCTCTATGCTAAGCACTTTACAAATATTTTCTCATTGTATCCTCATAACAACCCTGGGAGTTAGGCCCTGTTATTATCCTCATTTTGTAGTTGAAGAAAATGAGGCAGAGCTACCAAGTATCTGAGGCTGGATTGGAACTCGGGTCTTCCTGATTCCAGATTCAGGGCTCTATCTACTGTACCACCTCGCACCAGCAATGCAGCAAAAATGGCGAGTCACAAAACATTAAATGAAGATGAAGGGAATGAAAACTCTTGCTCTCTGCCATATATAAAACATGGATCCAAAAAATGAAAGGAAGATTACAAGAAGGGCAGAGCAATCATTTAGCAGAAATGTTGACAGGATGGGCATAAATACATGGGAAAGCTTAAGCCCACTTCTGAAGCAAAGAGAAGGCAACTTAATTCTCCCCAATTTTATGGGACAAATTAAGGAGATAACTGGATATCATGGAAGAGGCAATGAACTTTGACTCACAGGATGTGTGTTTAATTACTGGTTCTATTTTCCCTCTCACTATGTGGGCCTTGGGCAAACCACAACCTCTGAGTCTCAATTTCCTCATCTGAAAAGGAGATGGACTAGCTGCCCTCAATGGTCCCTTTTAGATCTAGGCCAATGATTTACAAGTTCAGCTTTCCATGTTACCATGCTTTTGTAGACTGGGTGGGCCATTGCTAAAACTCCTGCCTGCCACTCTTTCATTTAGTCTAACCCTAATAACCAAGAAGCAAAGAGACAAGCTAAGGTCTCTACACATCAGAGGTTCCTCAGACTGCAGAAAACCAAACCCCACCTCCCACTCTCTCTTACCCCTCTCAATTTCGCCATGCCCAGGGAGAAGCTAATATACTCCAATAACTACTTGTTTTACTATAAACCAAAGGATTACACCAACAGTGTTATGAAAAGAGGAAAAACTATGTCACTTTGGGTGTGGGTGGCAAGGATGGGGAAGCCAAAGAGAAACGAAATAAAACAAAACAAAATGAAGGAAGGCTTCAGGGAGAAATCACAGCACAATATTTTTCTCATCTATTCAGATATTTCTCTACTAGTCAAAAGCTTTAAATGTTGGCCATTATTTAAAACTGTATCTCTACCTATTTGTGTCTCATTTTCCATTTTGATTGGGAATTCTCCAGTGTCTAGAAAAGTACGCTACACAGAATAGATGCTTCATATATTCAGTTTAGTTAAAAATTTCACACCAACAAGGAAGTTACTCGAGCCTAACCACAATGCACTGGGAGGCTTACTCTCAACTCTATTCATCCTGGGACCCACCCTCTCTTGACTGGTTAGAGCATGAACTCAAATTCACATGGTCCACTATGGCTAGCCAGACCTAGATGTGCTTCCCATTCTACCCTGGTTATCTTCTTGCTATTCTCTCTGCAGTTGGGCTTATATTCTCCTACTTCATTGTGCCTTTTTATTGTAGTCTGCATAATAGAATGTAGAAAGGTATTTATGTATCTGAATCAAATCCATACTTCCATCGCTAATATCAATCAATTTCACTATGGCTTCACTCAATATCCCTGTTTTCCCAAACCATAACACCCTTCCCTGGCTACCACTCCCATTACACACTAAGCTATTTGAAGTTAGGGACTGTCTTACCTTTGTTTCTGTATTCCCAGTATTTAGACAACTGTTTAGCATAAAGGGAAATGCTTAAAAAAATTTTTTTCATTCCTTCATTCATGCTATCTACAGTGATTGAAGGAGACACAAGACTTATATATGACATAGCACCATCTTGATGGAGCTTATAATCTAGTAAAGAGACTTAGCACATATGCAAATAATTACGGTGCTTAAGAACACATAATTGCATTAGAGAGGTAGAAAACAAAATGCTTTGTGAATTCTAAGGTAAAGGTAGTTAATGACTGAGTGATCATGTAAGGTCTTCATGAGAGAAGTAGCATTTCAGTTGGACTTTACAGGATGAGCAATAATTCAATAGAGGAAAAAAGGAGGGAAAACTTTTTAGGCACAGGAAAAAGCATGAGCAAAGGCCCATAATGAGAAAAACACAGTACATATAAAGGAAATTGACTTATAAGCTCCATGGGCAGAAGCATTCATAAAGTGTGAGCAGTACATCTTACCTAGGTTCTATGCATATCTATGACTGCAAGGTTTATAAAATACTATACAGTCCAACCCATTTTAGCTCCTGGATTGGTAGACTCAAATTACACAATGTCATAGAGTGTTAGAGAACATGATATCTTGAAGGAAATTTAAAGATCATCTGATCCAGGTATTTTTTAATCTTCTGTGTCATGAAGCCCTTTAGCAATTTACCATGGGACAAAATCTATGGACCTCTTCTAAGAATTTTTTAAAATTTTAATTTGATTAATCTAGTTCTTTTCCATACAACATGTTGACTCTTATAACGTGTGGAAAATGAATCATTCAATAATATAAAACCATGCCATTGGAGAGTTCTTTTGCCCTCTTATGGAGCAGAAGACTTATGTCAGGTGTGGCCTTTTTACTGCTTACCCCAGAAAAATAACTGTGCAATCTTAAAGTGATCTACAGCCAGTAACAAGCCCCAAATTCCACCTTCCCTTTCCATAACAGAGGATGCTGATCAAAACAGAGAGCTCCAGGGGCTTAAATGACCACACCACACACACACACACACACACACACACAACACACACACACACACACACACACACGAGTTCTTGTCTCTCCCGTCCCAGCTGCATCATCTTTCTCAAGTAGCCTCCAAGAAAAGCCACACACATCATCACATCTTACCTAGGCTGCCCCCAAGGCTTAGTATGACAAATCCTCAAACACTCTTTCTGTTATGACAAATCAGACCTGGCTCTCAACCTCTCTAAAGATCTAAATTTCCTCATCTATAAAATGATTCCCTCATCTATAAAAACATATGATTGGCCAACCCAATAAGGAGAGGACTTCATAGGTTATTTAATGCTGCGTACTAACTTACCGTATTTGAGGGTCAATGATTAGTAAGAGGTCAGTCTTTACCTGGATATCACGGTACGATAACAGCAGATTAATGACAATGTCTGATGTCAGGACTTCAGTATTATCCATACGGAGTTTAATTCTGGCTAGTTCCTTTGCCAGTTCATCACCCTGATATTTTTCTCTGGCTTTCCGAATGTCATTTAACAAAGTTTCCTTGTAATAAGCACTGATGGAGGGGAAAAAAGGAAAACAATGTTATATTCACCTTTACGAAGACCCAGTTTCTGTAGCAAGGCAAAGAAAGAGTTGTGTTTTGATATGTCTTTAATTTAGTCACTTAAGCCACTTACACTAGGAAAGACATAATTTGGAGGCAATGTAGCATGTTGGCAAGAGTATCATACTTTGATTCAGAAGATGTGGGTTCAAATTCCACCTCAGATAAACACTGCGTAACAGTAGGAAAGAAACAATCTCTCAAAGCCTCACTTTTCTCAACCAGAGAAGGGGGATAACAGATAACAAACGTAAGGAAATTATGAGCAGTGCATCACAGCCTTGAAAAGAATTTCAAAACAGTCCATTTTTCTTCAGGAAAAATGATTTAATATACAACTCAACCTGTCTCCATCAGCTTATAGATTAAAGGAGCAAGAACAATGAGTGACACACTTGAATACTTCTTTTCCCACAAATATGAGCAATACTGAGCCAATAAGCCTTCCCAAAGTCACAAGATTAAATTAGAACTTCTATTTAAAAATTACTACTTTCTATATGGTAGACTTCTCAGTGTGAAGTTCAACCTGGATGATCAAGGACCATCTTTCCCATAGTTCATCAGCAACCCCGGTGGTACCATCCTTTTTTTTTTTTTCCAGATAAGGATCAAACAACCAACTGATTAACAAGTATTTATCAAGCATCAGCTATGTGCCAGACATAAGTGCTAAGGATACAAAGACAAAAGCTAAATAGCCCTTGACTTCAAGGAGCTTACATTTTATTGGGGTTTTTTTGTTTGTTTGTTTTTATTTTTATTTTATTTTTTTAAGGAGCTTACATTTTAACAAGGGAAGGCAATGGGCACATAGAAAAGTAATGCTGCAAGGCTGTCCAAAGCCAAAAACCACCTCCTGCCTCCTTACCAGGCTTCCAGGGGAAATCTGCTCTAGGTTGCTGTGAGGCTGCTCCTTTTATCCCCTCCTGCCTCTTTCTCCAAGACCTGCTAAGACACAAGATCTACTGTCTCTGAAGCAGGCTTCTGGACTCACTGGGAGCCTGGGGACCAGCAGGCTCTCTGGCTGCCAGAGATACAGCAGTTCCTTCCTCCCATTCATGACTGCTGGAAGGCATGGCTATATTCCCCAATGATGATCATATTCCCACTCTCCTATCCCAGTGAAACTGAAATCACAACTGCTGATGAACAAAATTTCCTCCCCAGCTGTCCACTCTCTCCTTCCCATCCACCTGGAATGTCCCACCACAGATCTACCCACTCCTTCTGCCAGCTCCATAAGTGATAAAACTCCCTTTCATCTCACCCCACTCCTCTCACTTCTTCCATTTTCTGGCACTCATCCAGACCCGATCCACTGTGGACATCACTGCATCCCTGGCCATTCTTTTCCATACTGGCGACTTTCACTCGTATCTTTCTCCCCTCAGTCAGCGGTCAAGATAGGGAAAAACTCCTTGCTGCCTCTGCTACTCCAAGATTCTTCCTCTATTGCCATTTTTTAGCAACCTCTCCTGCTTTAGATTCATGCAATACAGATTTATCACCTCCTCCAGGTTCTGGTAGCCCTTTTTCGCTGACATTCTCCATGACAAAAGGAGTTCAGTGGCAGGACCACATCTACCCCCTCCACCTCATCTCATAACAAAGCATACACAGTGGTATTCCCTCAAATGCCCTAACTTTGCACTTCCTCAATCGAGTCCCTATGACCTAGTCTTCTCCTTCACCTCAGCCGCACACAGGGAGGCTCATCCTCTTGGTCTTGCAATCACCCACAAATGTTCCTCTTCTGTGTTTAAGAACATCAAAATGCCTTTTTTTTTCAGATCATAACTTTTTGGCTTTCCATCTTATTCTTCCTAAATCTACACTTCACCTTCACCATGACCTGCAGTCTCTCCATGTCCTCAGCCCTCAGTATCTTGCTAGGCCATCACCCATACACTGGCTGCACTGCCTTCCCAATTTCAAGCTTGGTGAACCAGTTCAGCTCCACACTGTCTTCTGCTGCTGAATCTTGTTTCCTTGTCCCATCACTCACTACACCCTGCCAAACCCCAATCCATGATTGATTCTACTATCTGCCTACTTTGTTTCTACTCAAAAGCTGTAGAATGGAACTGAAGAAAATCATGAAACTATACTTAACGGATCTACTACAAAGGTATGCTGATTTCAACCAGGCCTCCACTACAGCAAGGCAATTCTACTACTCATCCCTAATTAATAACCCTATTCCACTCACCACAGATGTTCTAAATCTCTTTTCTCCTCAAGTCTCCCATATTAGCTCTTCCTGCTTACCATCTCAGCTAAGGACCTCTCCTCATACTTCACAGAAAAAACTGGGACCATTCACAAGAGTTCCCTCTTCTCCTCCCACCTCACATCTCTCAGACATCACACCCCACTACAGCTCCTCTTTCATTTCATTATCTAGTGAAGACGTGGGCTTTCTTCTTGCCAAAGCCAACCCCTCCATATGTACCCTTGACCCTCTTTCCTCCCATCATCTCTAGCATCCTCACTCTCTTCTTAATCTTTAATCTCTTCCTACCTACTGATTCCTTCCCTGCCGTCTAACAACACATACATGTCTTCCCCATCCTTAAGAAAAAAACCTTCAGTAGACTCTACCATACCTGTTATTTATTGTCCTGTATCTCTCTTCCCCTTCTCAGCTAAGCCCACTGAAAAGGCAGTCTACACTCCAATTCCTGTCCTCTCACCGTCTTCTAAGCCCTCTGCGATCTGGCACCAACCTTATTATTCAAATCAAACCGCTCTCTTCAAAATCATGAATAATGATCTCTTAGCTGTCAAATATCATGGTCTTTCTTCGGTTTTTATCTTTCCTGACTTTTTCCCCAGTCAATAAGTATTTATTAAGTGCTTACTATGTGCCAGGAAATGTGATAAGCACAGGAGACACAAAGAAAGGCACCACAGCATTTGACACCACTCTTTCCTCTCTGAGTTTTCATGACTCTGCTTTCTCTTGGTTCTCTTATCTGTCTGAGAATTTCTCAGTCTCCTTTACTTGGTCTTTAACCATGTCATGCCCACAAAATGGTCCCTCACAGCTATGTCGCAGGCTCTCTTCTCTTTTTTCTTTATACTCTTTAGATTAGTGACCTCATAAAACTCCACAGGTTCAACGACCATCTCTATGCATATGATTCTCACATCATACATCTCCAACCCTCATTTCCCTCCTAAACTCTAGTCCTTCATCACCAACTGCCTATTGGGTGTTTCAAACAGAATGTCTTATATCTATTTCAAACTCAATACACCCAAAACCCATTACTGTTGAGGGTATTACCATCATCCCAAACTATTCAGGTGTGAAACCTCATTGTCTTCCTTGGTTTCTCACTATCACTCACTCCACATATTCAACTAATTATAAAATCTTGTTTCTTCACAACATTCCATCTCTCCACTCACATATCCCCTATTCATACATCACCTCCCCCTAAACCACTGCAATAAACTTGGGGGTAGCTAGATGGCACAGTGGATAGAGCACCGGCCCTGGAGTCAGGAGGACCTGAGTTCAAATCTGGCCTCAGACACACAACATCCACTAGCTGTATGACCCTGCACAAGTCACTTAACCCCACTGCCTAGCCAAAAAAAAAGCAATAATCTGCTACCTGAATTCCCTGCCTTAAATCTATCTCCATTCCAATCAATCCATGTTTCCTCAGCTGCCATTGTGATTTTCCTAAAGAGAAGATCTGACCATAACCTCACCCTTCCCCAATAAATTCTGGTGGCTCCCTATTACCTGTAGTTCAAATATAAATTCTTCTGCTTGGATTTGAAGCCTATCACAACTTGGCCCTTTTTTGTATTTCCTTTCTTACATATTACTCCCCTCTACTTACTCTAAGATCCAGTCACATTGGCCATCTTGTTGTTTCACACACATATTGCCTCCCTCCGTACCTGAAATGTCCTCCTTTTTCCCCTCTGTCTCCTAGATGCCTTGGCTTCTTTCAAGGCTCAGCTCAAATGCCTCATTCTGGAGGAGGTCTTTCTCCTCCTCTCAGCTGCTAGTGCTATCTCCTCTAAGGTTGACATACATATATAATATGTAATATATAACACATAACATATATCTACATATACATAATTTATATGTATAATATGCACACATTTTATATATGTATGTATATATATATATTGTGTGTGTGTATATATATATATGTATATATGTATATATAAAATACACACACATACACACACACACACACTGTACACAGCCAGCACTTAGCATAGTATCCAGCACCCAGTGGTGGTTGTTTGTCTTTCATCTTCAAAGAGGACCAATGGCATCACTGGTGATGCCTTGACTCATGGGTGAACTGGATTTACACAAGGCAGGTTGCACAAAGTCACCAGCCTCACTCTCCCTTCCAGAGTCACCAGAGTCCGGTGGCAGGACAAAAGTCCAGATGACTGGCAATGACCCAGGATGCAGTGGATAACTTCGGTGTCTTTGGATGTCTGACCAAGCTCTAAGAGCTCCACAGCACCTGCTTCAGTCACTTTCATGGCCACTGGAACAAACTGTTTTATCTGCCCATTCCACCAGAGGAAGTGTTCACATGCTGGGGGTAGACATCCCCCTAATTCATTGATGGCTTGGAGGCCTGTCTGTTACCCTCAATCTGGTTTAGCTCATCTGCCAAGAGGGCTTCCCAGAGTGTGGCTACTGCACATGCTATAACTTCTTGGAGCCACAGGAGAGAGCTGAGTGCCCGGTGGATAACAGGTGGATGAGCAGCCCTGAAAAGGGCTCAGCAAGCCCTCGCACCAGAGGCGCTAGTCCTTTCTGAGCCCCATACACCCCAAGAAAGCTCTCAATAAATGCTTGTCGACTCATGTATCTCATTTGTACTTATTGTTTCTTCCATTAAAATGTAAGCTTTTTGAGGGCAGCAACTTCTTTCTTTTTCTTTGCATCCACAATA